TCCTAAACCCCGGTAAAATATTGAGGTTCCTGTCCCAGCATTATCATTTTTGTTACCCTGCCATTTCAAAGCTCCACCACTTGGATGGACTGCAAAACTACTGAGGCAAAGAGGAACAATGTGCTGAAATAGTCTTCGGAGACAAGCCTTCAGTGGAAGAGGAGAGCCCCCTATTTGTTCATGTTTCTTAGCAAATTAAAGACATGTCAAATCACACTTGATCAATTCTATGAACCTAACGCTGAAAACTCACCGTCTTGCCCTCACTGCACAAGGGAAACCTTGCTGTTATTTACTCTAATGTTTACTTCAGGTGATCCCCTGAAGTAAGGCTTTGGAAATTTGAAGGATGCCCCAGAAATCAGCAATTTCTATAATTTTGAAGAGAACTGTAATTTTAAAAGCCTTAGCCAGTATTTCTCAACCTGGGGGTTGGGAACCCTGGGGGGGGGGCACTAGGGGGTTTCAGAAGGGTCACCAAAGACCATCAGAAAACACATATTTCTCATGGTCTTAGGAACCCCCTTCACAGAAAAGGCTGAAGATCTCTCCGCCTGTCCTTCTCTTCCTTTTTGGAAACAGGTGGTAAGTCCTACCACCAAAAGCCCTCCTCCTTCACTTTGGATGTAGGTGAACTAACATTCCAAAACTCAAGATCAATGCCCACCAAACTCTTCCAGTATTTTCTGTTGGTTATGGGAGTTCTGTGTGCCAAGTTTGGTTCAATTCCATCATTGGTGAAGTTCAGACTGCTCTTTGATTGTAGGTAAACTATTAAATCCTAGCAATTACATCTCCCAAATGTCAAAGTCTATTTTCCCCAAACTCCAACAGTGTTCACATTTGGGCATATTGAGTATTTGTGTCAAGTTTGGTCCAAAACCATCATTGTTTGAATCCACAGTGCTCTCTTTATGTAGGTAAACTTCAACTCCAAAACTCAAGGTCAGTGCCCACCAAACTCACCCGGTATTTTCTGTTGGTCATGAGAGTACTGAGTGCCAAGTTCGGTTCAATTCCATCATTGCTGGCATTCAGGATGCTCTTTGATTGTAGTTGAACTATAAATCCCAGTAACTACAACTCCCAAATGACAAAATCCATCCTCCCCCAACCCCACCAGTATTTGGGCGTATCGGGTATTTGTGCCAAATTTGGTCCAGTGAATGAAAATACATCCTGCGTATCAGATGTTTACATTACAATTAGTAACAGTAGCAAATGACAGTTATGAAGTAGCAATGAAAATTATTTTCTGGTTGGGGGTCATCACGACACGTGCAGCTGTATTAAGGGGTCACGGCATTAGGAAGGTTCAGAAACACTGACCTAAGCAAAAATGTAATTCTACTCTTAAGTAAGTTCTTTCCAATACTATGGAATATGTAGATTACTATTTAGGTAACACGGGAACTAAAAGAAAAGCAATGTGTGAGAAAGGAGTGTTGATCTGGTTAGTCTCCTAAAAGCCTGTAGCAAAAGTTGGCACACTCCAGGATTGCAGAATTTACTTTGCTATTTCATAGAAGCTTTAGCTCATACCAACTGGACCCTGGGGCACAACATATAGTCATGAAGGAGAAAGTTGTAGAACAATTGAAGGTCAGAAATCCTTGCTGAACTACTCATATAGAATCCTTCAAGCTGATCCAATTCTGTTGAGTTATAATATCCTATAGATATGTGTAACAGTGAAGAAGAGGATATGTAAGGAGTGTTACAAAGTTTTAAGAAAACCTTGCTAAAATTTTATTGGGAGGTTTCAAAAAGGAAGAAACGTGATGCTTTACCCATCCTACTGTCTTGAAGAGTCCACTTTCACCACCCCTAGCAATGAAACGCCCTATTGCACAGCTGATAACAAGATTTCCAATCTAATCTCTTCTTGTGAAACTGGATTGGGGAAAGTGGAGACTGTGGGCCATCTGTGCCCCTCTGACCTGGTTTTTGTGACCTTTTAGGTCACCCTATGGGAAGAAACCGGCATAAAATTGTGACCAAAATATGATGGGATATCATCTCTGGTGCATCCAACGCACTTGTGTGCCCTATGAGCTGGAAGAGAAGAGAGGGTTATAGTGGCAAAAATTGGCCCCCCATCACCCCTTGTTAGGAGCCCCCGGTGGCGCAGTGGGTTAAACCCCTGTGCTGGCAGGACTGAAGACCGACAGGTCGCAGGTTCAAATCCAGGGAGAGGCGGATGAGCTCCCTCTATCAGCTCCAGCTCCTCATGCGGGGACATGAGAGAAGCCTCCCACAAGGATGATAAAAACATCAAATCATCTGGACATCCCCTGGGCAACGTCCTTGCAGACGGCCAATTCTCTCACACCAGAAGCGACTTGCAGTTTCTCAAGTCACTCCTGACATGACAAAAACAAACAAAAAACAAAAAAAAACCCCTCCTTGTTTGGCTCAATTCCTGATATAAGATACCCAAAATTTTGCCATAATTATGTTGGAAACCGCTTTGAGTCCACCGCTGGGGTGAGAAAAGCTGTATACAAGTGAAGTAAGTAAGTAATTAATTAAATAAAGTTTCAAGACAATGGGGAGTGAAAAAGGAAGGCCGGAATTAAATACTGCAGTTACAAATACGTATCTGAGTGTTATGCATCTGTAAACTGAAATCATATATTCACACCAAATTCGGAGATAGCTAATACTCCAGAAGACAGAACAGAATTCAAAATGATCTTAACAGATTAGAGAGATGATTGGCCAAAACTAGCAAAATGATGTTCAACAGGGACAAATGCAAGATGCTCCACTTAGGCAGAAAAAATAAAATGCAAAGATACAGAATGGGGGACCATGCCTGGCTTGACAGCAGGATGTGTCAAAAAGGTCTTGGAGTCCTTTTGGACAAGTTAAACATGATCCAACAATGTGATGCAGCAACTAAAAAAGCCAATGGGATTTTGCCCTGCATAAATAGGAGCCTGGTGCCTAGATCCAGAGAAGTCATGCTACCCCTCTATTCCGCCTTGGTCAGACCAACCTGAAATCACACTATGTCCAATTCTGGTCACTGTAGTTGAAGGGAGATGTTGACAAGTTGGAATCTGTCCAGAGGAGGGTGACTCAATTGATCAAGGGTCTGGAGAACAAGCCCTATGAGGAGCGCCTTAAAGAGTCGGGCATGTTTAGGTTGCAGAAGAGAAGGCTGAGAGGAGACATGATGTCCATGCATAAATATGTGAGCGGAAGTCATAGGAAGGAGAGAGCAAGCTTGTTTTCTGCTGCCCTGGAGACTAGGATGCAGAGCAATGGCTTCAAACTACAGGAAAAGAGATTCCACCTGAACATTAGGAAGAACTTCCTAACTGGGAGAGTTGTTCAGCTGTGGAACTCTCTGCCCCAGAGTTTGGTGAAGCCACCAAAGAGGCTGGGTGGCTATCTATCAGGGGTGTTTTGAATGCGGTTTTCCTGCTTCTTGGCAAAAAGGGGTTGGACTGGATGGCCCACGAGGTCTCTTCCAACTCTATGATTCTAATTGCAACAATTGCAAAGGTTTCCCCAGTCCTGTTTTACCAGGCACCAGCCACTTTGAATAATAAGGGTTTGTTTTCTGGTTCATCAAAGGACAGCGGATCAACATTTCCACCCGTTCGTGCCAACAACCTCCAAGGTGAGAAGGGATCCTGTTTCTAATGTTCACGTTAGAGATTGACCAGATCAAGAGAACAGATCTCTGCCATTTGTAGCAGCTGATACTTGGTAAAGCAAGATGGGTGATAGGGTCAGTAGACACTATTTAGATAAGGAAAGAATATAAGATGTCAGCCAAAGATTTTTTTTTCCACTTCACCTTTGGTCTCGAAGAACTCCAGAGGCCACAGTAGGAGCAAGACTGTGAAAGGAGTAGGAATACAACACAATGTTTTGTATTCCCCCTGCACATCCCAGAGAGATTTTCTTTCTCTAATGCAGCATTTCTCATCCCTAGGGGGGTCATGAGGCAGAGGGCTCACCAAAGACCATCAGAGAACACATATTTCTGATGGTCTTAAGAACCCCTTTGGCAGCAACTGCAACTCCCAAATGACAAAATCAACCCCCCCCCCCCAACTACAAAAGTATTCAAATTTGGACATATCATGTATTTGCACCAAATTTGGTCCAGATCCATTGTCGTTTGGGTTCACAGTGCTCTCCAGAGGTAGGTGAACTAAATCACTGTAAATTCCTCTCAAATCCCTTCAGTATTTTCTGTTGGTCATTGAGGTTCTGTGTGGGAAGTTTGGCCCAATTCTATCATTGGTGGGGATCAGAATGCTCTTTGATTGTAGGTGCACTATACATCTCAATAACAACAACATCCAAATGTCTATTTTTCCCAAACTCCATCAGTCTTTACATTTGGGCATATGGCGTAGCCGTGCCAAGTTTAGTCCAGATCCATCATTGTTTGAATCCACAGCGCTCTCTGGATGTAGGGGAACTACACCTCCAAAACTCAAGGTCAATGCCCACCAAACCCTATCAGTATTTTCTGTTGTTCATGGGAGTTCTGTGTGCCAAGTTTGGTTCAATTCCATCGTTGGTGGAGTTCAGAATGCTCTTTGATTGCAGGTGAACTATAAATCCCAGCAACTACAATTCCCAAATGACAAAATCAATCCTCTCCCAACCCCATCAGTATTCAAATTTGGGTGTATCGGGTATTTGTGCCAAATTTGGTCCAGTGAATGAAAATACATCCTGCGTATCGGATGTTTACATTACGATTTGTAACAGTAGCAAAATGACAATTACAAAGTAGCAACGAAAATAATTTTCTGGTTGGGGGTCACCACATCATGAGGAACTGTATTAAGGGGTTGCTGTATTAGGAAGGTTCAGAACCACTGCTCTAATGACCGAATTCATAAATACAGCTTGCTTGTACAAGATGTATTTGAAATAAGCCTTGGTATCTGAGACATGTGCTTCGCCTTGTGGTTGCCCCAACCTGAGCAAATGCAAAATGAAACAAAAACCACACCAGGAACCACCTCTCTTTTAAAACTTCATACATATTTCTTTTTTTATAATTATAGAGATATAGATATTTATTTAATATATAAAATAGCACTTTTTATATATACTTTACAAAACAGAAAAACAAAACAAAAAGCCACATTGATCTCGTCCTTCCGTCTTTCGTCCCCTAACAAAAATGAAAAAATAAAAACACAACATAAAATAAGTGATATAATTAAACCATAACAAAAATAAAAACTTTCCAAAGGAAACAGAGAGAAGCCCCAATCCCCTAACAAACTTGCGGCGGTGATTCCCCAGTTACGGTTGCCCTGAGATGGGGGGGTATCTCTGCCCCCCTCTGCCTAACCACCACGGCAGCTGGGAGCAAACAAGCAAGCGGGAGGGGCCGGGTCTTGCGTGGCCAAGAGCGTGGCATGGCTCTTTGTGTGTGTGTGTTCTTGTGTGTTTATACACATGGCTAAAGAGTTTGGAGAGTTTCAGTCGGCTTTGTTCTTGAGGGGGGCAGCAGGAGAGCCATTAGCACAGGTGGGCGGAAGGCCAGGCTTGGGCAGCGTGCAGGCCGCAGGGGGGCGCAGGTACGTGCTGAACAGGCGGGCATACTCCGGGTGGCGGAGGGAGAAATCCTGGAACTTGTCTGGAGAAATAAAAAGAAAAGACAGACATGAATTGGGGGGCTGAGGATATCAAGAAACAGTGCGTGGAGCCTCAGCACTGCAGCGCACAGCAGTCTCTGCATCAAAAGCAACTATTTGCACAAGGAAACGGGTGCCCTCTTGCCTCAATTTTTTTACCATGGGCAAACCATTAAAATAATTATCAGGGAATCCCTCCACGCTTTGGTTACATCCCGTTTAGACTACTGCAACGCTCTCTACGTGGGGTTGCCTCTGAAGACTGCCCGGAAGCTGCAGCTAGTCCAACGCTCGGCAGCCAGACTACTAACGGGTGCTGGGTACAGGGAGCACACCACTCCGCTGTTACACCAGCTCCACTGGCTGCCAATTAGCTTCCGAGCACAATTCAAAGTGCTGGTGTTAACTTATAAAGCCCTAAACGACTCCGGCCCTGTTTACCTCTCCGAACGTATTCTCCCCTATGAACCATCAAGATTATTAAGATCGTCTGGAGAGGCCCTGCTCTCGGTCCCACCGGCCTCGCAAGCACGTCTGGTGGGATGAGGGACAGGGCCTTCTCAGTGGTGGACCCTCGACTCTGGAACTCTCTCCCACTGGAGATCAGAACTGCCCCTTCTATCCTGACATTTAGGAAACAGGTGAAGACGTGGTTATGGAGACAGGCATTCGACGAGAGAGCCAACACCCTGAGATATGGATGGAGGATGATGAACAACGATTTTAGTGTGACGACTGACCATTGTAGTTATTGTATGTAATTGCTGTTTTAATGTTTTACTGTAATATGAATTATGATGTTTTATTGACTGTATGTGATATTATGGTTGGAAACCGGTCTGAGTCCCTCAAGAGAGGTGAGAAGGTCGGTATACAAAACTTTTAAATAAATAAATAAATAAATATTATACGAGGGGCGTTCATCACAGACTTCCCCTGACCCACTTCTATTTATCACAGGGTGCTGAAACTGCACGTGTGTAATGATAAAAGTCTCTATAGTTTACGTGCCAATTTACAACTCAGAACTGATAACTGTCTTGATTTTACAGATGCTGAAGTGGTGTGAGGTTTGGTAATGGACCCAGTGGAATACAGAGCAGTCATCAAGTTCCTTTACAAATGTCAGTGTGCTGGAAGAAGCAAAGACCACCAGCACTGAAGCGATGGTCCTCCGCCGTCAACTCCGCTGGACTGCCCATGTTGTCTGAATGCCCAATCACTGTCTCCCAAAGCAGTTACTCTATTCCTCAAGAGCAGGAAACGGAATGTGGGTAGACGGAAAAAGAGATTTCAAGATAGGCTTAAAGCCAACCTCAAAAATTGTGGCATAGACACCGAGAACTGGAAAGCCCTGGCTCTTGAGCACTCTAACTGGAGGTCAGCTGTGACCAGAAATGCTGCAGAATTTGAAGAGGCACAAATGGAGGGCGAGAGGGAGAAACATATCAAGAGGAAGGCATGTCAAGCCAACCCTGACCGGAACCACCTTCCATGAATGGTATGCACTTTACATCAAATCCTATGGTTTTATGATATTTCTGCCTAATAAAGATAATGTTAAAGATATATACTAGTATAGCTGCCATTGTGCAGGTACAGGTACCAGGAGCTCCAATTTTGTTTGCTTTCCATTGAATGTTTGTTGTAATCCTAAGTTTCAGGGACTCTGCAGACAGGTGGCTTCTTTTGGCTGCAATCATAGGGCAAGCCACCTGTCAATTATAGTTAGGTTCCCTGGTCCCGCCCCTTTTTTGGGGGTTTTGGAGGGAATAGGAGCCTTTTTGGTTCAGTCCACACAGAGAAGCCTTTCATGCAGGACATAATACCAAGAGCTCCTGTAGAAAGCTTCGTCTTCTACGGCTTGGCCCGGGAGATATACAGCCCACAGCTTGGCCGGGATTATACAGCCCTACAGCTCCTTTGCTGAAGGACTTCAGTCAGCCATCACGGAAACCCGAATTCCTTTCCCCTTGGAAGTCTACAAAGCTCTGCTTGGTAAGGGTCACTTGCGGAAGCCAGAAGCAGTTGGTACCGGGTGCAGGGGCTCCATGCCAACAGAGGCAAAGACAGACTGCCCAGATTAGAAGTTAAGGATTTCCCCATTAGTTACAGTTATGAAGATAGTGCCTGTTCCCTGTGGACAAGATTGAGAGAGAGCCAATAGACTGTTAAGAAAGCCTCAAAGGACCTGTTTGTTTTAAAGCCTTGAAGTACCTGTTTGTTTTCATTAATAAAGAACTTTGTTGAACCTTTGAGCAATCTAGAGACTCTGTTTTAAGGAAATCCAATGGCCTTTAATCTGAGGCAGCCCCAGTGTCCCGTTGGGCACACAGAATTTATGTCCTGTCTACAGTCTTATGCACAGGCCCAGCGTGCGACAGCACAGCCATGATCCCCATAGACTACCTTTCCCACCCCAATTCTTACCAAGAGCCAGTTCTTTCTGGCTGCTCTCCTCAGCGCTCAGCCGGCTATAGAGTTCAGCCCCATCCGTAGCCGGTGTGCCGAAAAAAAGCCTCAAAATGGTGCAGAAACTGTCCTGGCACAGCCTGTGGTCCCCTGTCCCAGCATTCATCTCTGAAAATAACTGGAGGGAAGTATATGCATGAGGAATGAAAAATCCAAACCCAAAGGCTAGAGAACTACAGAATTTACACCTTTGCATAGTCACAGTTCAACCAGCTTTAAACCTCTGGCTCTTTTCCCTTGCATCCCTGAATCCACCAAAATGCCAACCACCATTTGCTTTCCATAGCTCTTCTTATCCTATTTCAGCTTAGCCTCTTTTGCAGCTCATCACCCCTTCCTGATTTTCTCCTATCCTCACAATTACTCACTTAATGCTAACACACCTTCTTGTTGTTGTTGTCTTTTTTTTACTAGCTTGGGGACCTGGCGATGCCTAGGTGATTTGAAAGGGGCATTTGTTGGCTGGGTTTAGAGCTCTCTTGGTAAGGATGAACTATAACTCCCATATGCCAAGGACAATCACCCCGCCAAACCTAGTCAGTATTTACAGATGGCCATGTTGGGTCTGTGTGTCAAATTTGGTCCAGATCTGATGTTGGCTGGATTCAGTGGCCTCTGGATAAGAGTGAACTACAGCTCCCATATGCCAAGGACAATCACCCCCAAACCCTGCCAGTGTTCACAGTTGGCCATGTTGGATCTGTGTGCCAAGTTTGGTTCAGATCCGACATCACTGGGTTCAGTGCTCTCTGGGTAAGTGTGAACTATAGCTCCCAAAATCAACGTCTATTCCCACAAATCCCTGCAGTATGTTCCATTCATCATGGGGGTTCTGTGTGCCAAATTAGTTCCAGGTCCATTGTTGGTGGGGTTCAGAGTGCTCTTAGACAACAGGTGAACTTAAGATGTTTACTCCAATGTCGGCCTGATTGTCCTGCCCAGTGGTTCTCAGCCTGTGGATCCCCAGGTGTTTTGGCCTACAACTCCCAGCAATCCCAACCAGTTTACTAGCTGTTAGGATTTCTGGGAGCTGAAGGCCAAAACATCTGGGGGCCCACAGGTTGAGAACCACTGGTCTAGCCTCATATTATGGAGGTCTGCTTTCCTTGCCCATCCAAAACAAAGCCAGTCCTTACCTCAAATGCATGACGTGTCAATGTGTGTGGGTCATGCTCTCCCTCGAGTACCTCCAGTGCGAGGGCCACTTCCCGATAATCCATGTTACCTTCAGAATCCTAGAAATAAAGGCAACAAGGACCAGTAATGACACCAGTATCTTATGAGCAATTCCAGTTATTCAATAATCAGGTATACTGGTGTCACAGTAAGGAGTCCAGCGTATTTGGCCATGTAGAGACTTAGGACAAATAGAACCTAGTCAGAGTGATTGTAGTAATATTTCCTATTCCAGCCATATGGCCATCCCCTATTTAAGAGTAACTCTATTCATTCTCCAAATCTTCCATATTTTCTTGGGGAGTGAGCACCTTGATTGTGTTAGATTCCTTTTGAGCTTGGAACCCAAACAAGATCAGAACATAAATACTTGGATGGGGACTGCCAATGAATTCCTCTATTTCAGAGGAAAGCAATGACAAAGCACCTCATTTCCTCTATGACATTCATGGGGTCACCATAAATGGACATGTGACTTGAAGCTACATGCACATGGTTCACACATTCCCTTCTACTTCATTTTACCTGTTGGAAATAAGTACTGAGTCCTTCCACAGCCTCGGGGCACGTCAGACCCAAACATTGAGCCAACTCTGCTGGCTTGAGCTTTCCTAATGTGCCATCAGGAAGCGGGTCAAGCTGACCTTTGGCTCCTCCTGTTAGGAATCTGCAAAAGAGAGGTGAAAAGAAGTAAGAGTTTCACATAACTCTTGGGAAATAATCATGCCTTTTTTTGCCACGTGTTTTTTTTTAAAAAAATGCCTCCTTATAGCTTGCCTCTTGATTCATATGTCATGGTCTTGGTGGAGTCACACCTTTCACACCCACACTTCCAAAAGCCTTATTTTCATCTTGTTTCAGGTTACTTTAGGCTTAGAAAAACATTTTTAAATAGCAGAAGCCACTTCTTGTTTCAAAGGTAGGTGCGCCAGGGCTTAAACTGGTCCTGGGGACCAAAAACATGGCACAAATGCCCTCTCATGCCATCAGAGGACACTTGGGCAGTATTTTGAGGCAAAAACCACTCTTCCCACCAGGTTTTTCTTCTATCCTTAAGGTCACTCACCTAGCCTTTCGGAGGGCCTTGCCCAGTTCCCAGATCCGTGGTTCCAGCGCCACCCTCAAACGCCCTACTACAGTGACCGGAAGGTTGCCCAAAAACTCACATTCAGTGGCAGGGATCCCCAGGGCCCTGGTTGGAAAAGAAGAGACAAGAAGTCAATGAGGCAGCAAACTGAGGCTCACGTAGAGCATGAAGAGAAGATCCCCAAAATGTGTCAAAGCTCAGTGTCACTGTCCATACTATCACTTGGTCTCTATTCCTCTCAGTCAAATCTGCATTGCCAGGAAGTGTGAGTAGCATTGGCTATTCATCCTCCTCATGGCTATTATTGCACCCCCACTTGCAGCAAACAAGGGATTAGCAAAAAGGAGGAGAAAGGCAGCAGCGTGAATGACCTCACAACCTCTGAGGATGCTTGCCATAGATGCAGGGAAAATGTCAGGAGAGAATGTTTCTAGAACATGGCCATACAGCCCAAAAAAACCACAACAACCCAATGATTCCATCCATGAAAGCCTTCGACAATACAGTGAATGACTCTCTTAGAGGACACCATTGCTGGAGTACGGGCCCAACAATGTTGACCACCTATTAAATGCTTCCTTAACATGTTGTGGTGGTTTTGGTATGGACTATCATACTTCAGAGCAGGATCACCTTTGACCTTAAACACCACACCAGTTGGGTAAAATCAGCAAGCAGTTTATTGAAGAAAGCAGTAAAAAGTAAGCAATTCAAAATCCAATTTAATCCATCAGGTACAAAGGAAAACAGGAACAAGGACTCAATGTAAGTCCATGAAACTAGGCAACATGGGGAGCAAATCCCATAGGTAAAACATGAGCTAGGCAAACCTTGTTACATGGAACTCAAAGCAAAAGAAACTTAAATGTGGCATTATCCTGACATTGCCTCAAATGAAACAACTGTCTTCCACAAATCATTATACATCCTTCCCTGACTCCAAAGCTGCAAGGAATGCATTATTTTTTAGTTTCAGTTTGTTATCTTTCTTCTGTTGGATCTGAGCTGACCTCCTTAATTGCTGCCCAAACTGCCTCTGTTTACTAAAACTTCTGTTTCTGTTCAAGGTCTTGCTCTCATCATTAACTCCCGCATCTGGTAAATCAAAATCAACTTTATTCTCAGACCGCTGCTCAGGGAACAGTGAAGAAAGGCCTTTCCCAAGCATGTGATCTTGAGAATCCTCTTGCAGCAGCTCGGGCCTCTCTTGTGAGCACAAATCAGGCCCAGGCGACCCCTCATCCCCAAATCCAACAGACCCTGGCCCAGGAACTGGATCATCATCCCTATTCCCATCATGAACATCAAAATGAACATCAGACACAATTACAGAATGAACAGGCTGATATACAACATGGATTGGGAATGAGGTCCAGCACTTTTGGGTGGGATACGTAGAACCAACTGCTTAGACCTATCATGGTTTTCTCCATACTTTCTTAATTCCCATTGGCTCATCTCCAAGTTTCCTTCTTGCCCTTGTCAAAGGGCGCCACCTTCACCCTGTGAACCCCTTCTCCTTCTACTCACTTGGCCATCACTTTCTGGACGTTGTTGGCATATAGCGCTGGGTTCACAGCCTCTTCAGCACTGGGATGATAAACTGGAAGGAACTGAAATACCAGGAAGAATCAGAGTGGCTTTTTGTACAACTGACATATGCTAGCCAGCTTGTGCCATGTGTGGAGCTAAGAAGTTGCTCCAACTGCCTGAGACATATTTATATCCAAAGCAAAGAACAAGATGGCAACCATCCATTCCTTGTACAGACGCCAACTAGAATAGCAGCTAAATGGCAACAGAATTTACTCTGGCAATAGGGTTAATTGCAGGATAAGTCTGGTTTAGAACAGTGTTTCTCAAACTGGCCCTCTTAACATTTTGCATCCCAACTACCAAGCTGGAATGTGTCCAGAGGAGGGGAACTAAAATGATCAAAGGTCTGGAGACCATGAATCCATCTGAGGAGCAGCTTGAAGAGCTGGAGATATTTAACCTGTAGAAGAGAGGTTGAGAGGAGGCATGATAGCCATGTTTAAACATTGGAAAGACTGTCCTAAGGAAGAGGAAGCAGGCTTGTTTTCTGCTGCCCTGGAAACTAGGACTCAATGGAGCAATGGATTCAAATTACAGGAAAGGAGATTCCACCTGAACATTAGGAAAATCTTCCTGACCGTAAGAGCTGTTCAGCATTGGAACTATTTGCCTCGGAGTGCATTGGAAGCTCCTTCTTTGGAGGCTTTTGGACAGAGGCTAGATGGCTATCTGTCAGGGGTAGTTTGTGCTTTTCTTGCATGGCAGGGAATTGGAATGGATGGCCATACAGTCTCTTCCAATTCTATTATTCTATGGTACCAAAGTCCCAGCAAGTATGTCTGATGGTTGGAAATCTTGGGACTTGAAGTGCACTACTTCAGAGACTTTGGGACAACTAGTTGTCCCAATAAAACTAAAGAATGACTGAGTTTGTCCAGGAGGTTAGTGCTTCTGCATAATAAATTCCACCTGAGGCAGATGCTTCCCTGGGACTACTGAGAAGAAGTAGCCATAAAGAAATGATCAGACAAGACTGCTCAGAAGAAGAAGCTACAGTACTAAAAAAGGAAAATATTCAAAATATATGATTTACCTCCACTTCCACAGTTGTGCATGGTTGAGATGCAGTTAACCAGATGACTTTCAACCTGAAAGGCAAAACCAAGGGGTGACACTCTGCCAACAGATGGAATTTCCACCCAAACATAATATTGCTAATCTCCACGCTCACAACTGGCAGTAACTTACACTCCAGGTCCTCTCCATGCCCAGGTTGTTGAATCCTGCAAAGCAAAAAGAAACTGTTATATTTATAGACAGATAACAGATCCCAAGTGTAAGTTGAAAGGGGTGTTGAGGAGGAAAAAGTGCAAAATGATGCAGCTGAATCTCCCCTTCCTCATTTAAACCAAGCCAAGCCAAAAGCTCAAGCTGAGTGTGTGGCAAGGCAATCGGACTGAAGCACTTCTCTGCAGTGGTTCTCAACCTGGGGTCCCCAGATGTTTTTGGCCTTCAACTCCCAGAAATCCTAACAGCTGGTAAACTGGCTGGGGTTTCTGGGAGTTGTAGGCCAAAAACATCTGGGGACCCCAGGCTTACAACTACTCCTCTAGAGCCAGGACGCAACTGAGAAATGGAGGCACTCGCTCCATTAAATAGACACAGCTTGCATAAGACATGTCAAGGCTTTCTTCTATTCTGATTGGCCCAACAGGCAGGTCTCACAGGGTAATCCTGTGCAAGCATGCGGCAGCTTCTCAGTGCACTCTGTGATCCCGAATCCCAAAAAATTGCCAAAGGAAACCCTTGCCGTTATGGGCATCCAAACAAGCCAAAGAAGCCAAATGCAAACGGTCAAAATGAATCAGTGCACAAGCCTAATGTGCCATTTGTTTTGACTTACCAGAGAGTTGGGGTACCGAATAAGAATGGGCTGGATGGGGACACCAGATATGAAGGCACCTGAGGGTACAAAATACATGCCCTTCAAGATTTGCTCAAGCATTCCATGGATGCTGAAAATGAATCAAGTCTGTTCGCACACCTACAAGGAAGAACCTATTGTAGGACAGCTTTCCAGACTTTCCAGTACTTTTTGTTTTGATACTGCCACCTTCATACTCATAGGTTTAAATCCAAACTCTTGGAATAGTGTCATCAAAAGTGTTAAGGTGGACGATAAGAGGGCTGACGTAAAGTGCTGAACTTAAAGTAGGGACAGGGAAATTACTGGTGAACTGCTTAATCAAAAACTTCCAGGTTTTTAGTTGTCTCCAGAAAGAGGACAAAGTAGGAGCCTGTCTGATCTCCTTAGGGAGGGTGTTCCAGAGCCAGGGGGCCACCACCAAGAAGGCCTTCTCCCTCGTCCCCACCAACCATGTTTGAGATGGTGGAGAAAGAGAGAAAGCAGTGCCTCCCCGGATGATCTCAACATACACATTGGTTCATAGGGGAAGATGCGATCGCAGAGATAAACAGGTCCCAAACAGTTTAGGGCTTTATAGATAATAACCTGCACCTTGCATTGGGACCAGAAACTTATTGGAAGCTACTGAAGCTGTCTAAACAGAGGGGTTAAATTGGGGTGTCTCAGGTTTCCTTCACTGCCCCTTCTCCTTCCCTGTATAGGTCATGTTGAGACTTAGGTAATGTTTCAGAAATTGCTTTTCACTTATTTCCACTGATCCCTTTTAAAATCATTATTCAGGAGTTATAGTCAAAGTCTTAAAAGTGTCTTAAAGACTTGCTGGTCTCTTAGAATCATAGAATAATAGAATCAAAGAGTTGGAAGAGACCTCATGGGCCATCCAGTCCAACCCCCTGCCAAGAAGCAGGAATATTGCATTCAAATCACCCCTTACCTGGTTTAAACTTCAATAATCTTACCTGGTTTAAACTTCAATAAGGCTTTTTTGTTTGAGCAGGTCCCCTCTGGGAAAAACAGAACCTAGAAAACAAGAGAAGGGAGTCAGAGGGAAATGGTGGACTCACAAAGGGAAACTGCCAACCAGAGTTAACATCATGGTTGATGGGCTCCGACCATTCTCACCTGCGGCCATTTTCCTTGAGAAGTGGCTCGTTTCTTCACTTCTTCCACTACCTTCTTGCGAGAGGCTGGATCATGGCGGGAGACCAGGATGGCTTGGTTGAACCTCAGCAGGGCTGGAGGAGATGGAGGAGAAAGGGAGGTGGGAAGAATTCAATAGGATGGTTGAGTTTGTCTGCTTTTCTTGTTTTATTAGTTGTCACCAGGGCCTGTCCGAGAAACTGTGCCTGGTTCGAGGTTTTGGGCTTGAGTGTTACCAGTATGCTGATGACACTCAGCTTGTGCAGAAGATGGAAGGCCAACCGGACTCTATACCCAATTGTTTTCATCAGTGCCTCAAGGCCGTTACTGGATGGCTGCATACCAGCAGGTTGAGGGTGAATCCAGCAAAGACGGCTGGGTCAACTGGGCAGTGAGGGTATCCAGCTGCCTACCCTGGATGGCGAGGCGCTACACCCGTCATCATTGGTAAGAAGTCTGGGAGTCCTTTTGGACCCTCTGCTGACGGTGGAGGCCCAGGTCTCCACCGTTAGCAGAACCGGCTTTTTTCATCTGCGGCAGGCTAGACAGCTGGCCCCCTACCTGTCCAGGGACGACCTAGCTACGGTCATCTCAAGACTGGACTACTGTAACGCCCTCTACATTGGCCTTCCTCTGTCGGTGATCCGGAAGCTCAAGTTGGTACAAAATGCAGCTGCTCAGCTTCTTGCGGGAATTCTGATGAGATGCCACATAACCCCAATCTTACTGCAGCTGCATTGGTTGCCAATTGAGCACCGGATCATTTTCAAAGTGATGGTACTCACCTTTAAGGCCTTGCATGGTCTGGGGCCAATGTACCTGAGGGACCGCCTCACCCCCTACCAACCTCAGAGATCCCTCCGTTCTGAAGACCAAAATTTGTTGGAAATTCCCAGTGTCAAGACCTTGCGTCTAACAGCAACCAGACGCAGAGCCTTTACAGCAGTGGCACCATCACTCTGGAATACTCTGCCACCTGGAGTCCGTGCCTTGTGGGACTTATCCGCTTTCTGCAGGGCATGTAAGACATACCTGTTTCGACAGGCCTTTGATATTTGATATTGCTGTTTTTAAATTGTTTTAAATTGTTTTTAAATTGTTGTTCGATTTTAGCCTGTTCTTGTAAGCCGCTCCGAGCCCCAGGGGAGTGGCGGCATATAAGTTTGAATAATAAATAAATAAATAAATAAATGTGAGAGACAGTATAGGCAGTCCCTGGGTTACAAACACCCAACTTACAAACCACTAAGAAGTTAAGAATGGGGTGAGACAACAGGAAGGGAGAGAGATTTGCCCCTGGGAAGGGAAATTTACTCTTGAAAAAGTTATCATGGAGGAAAGGTGTAGCGGAATGAAAACCATGCATGGTTCACATCCTTACCAATCCACACACTGTCTTGTCAGAGAAAAGATATGTCACACAGTTGATCAGTAAAGAATAAGGTGTTTACTCTTTGTTATGCAGAGCAAAATATATACAGTCATGTGAACAGTTGCATTGACTCACACAATGTCCTTTGAGAGAGATTCAAATGGTTCTTAGGTGTCCATGTAAAGGATCTTCTTCCAGCAGCTCAGAAGCAAAAATACTAACTGTCTTGGTAAGCTCCTGCACAGAAAACCTAAACATGTAACTGTTGCCAAAATTCCCAGGCTCAGCTAGCTTCTCGGGCATAGCCCAACCAATAATTTTTCAGTTAACAGATTCACCAACTGATTTTCACATGCTCCAACAAAAGGTGTCTCAACTGAAGCTGTATCACCAATCCTTCCTTTCACAAGCCAATTTTTAAAAAAATCCAATTATCAATGGGATGGAAGATGAGGTGAAATCTTCTGAAGAGGGGCACAGGCAGCCAAACAAACACCACAGTGGTATTAACCCTTTCCTATGCTAGCCAAAGCTTGCATCTCTATGTATATCTATATCCACACTTAACCACAAGCCAATCTTGTCTTACATCCCCAACCTCTATGTTAAGTCAACCAGATGACTACAAGTAGAACCTGGAAAAGTTCTTTTTCAACTACAATTCTCAAATTTACAAAGGCAGAAATGGTGGTTGGGGGAGTCTGGGAATCATAGCCCCTGCTACACTGTTTCCAAACACATTTTGGATGTGAAAGGCAACAACTCTCTCCCATGATTGCTGGTTAATTTCCTGAGAGGATCTGGCATCCAAAGAAGTGAGCTGTTTTCATTTCCTATACACTTTCCTTCTGAAATGATCAATTTTGTGGAAAGTCTAATAATCAAAATTTGATCATAACCATAGGCTGTTTCCTCCCTTCTCCACCAAAACCTTGGAGAAATCTCTCACTTTGGGAATGAGGTCAGTAAATACATAAAGCTGCTTAGAGCATTTATTCACATATCTGCCACATTTAAATCATGGCTGTGTGCCCTCTTAATCTGAGGGAAATAAATAGGTACGTGGATTGATTTTTCACCAAGGAAACCTGATTTCTAAAAGACACACTCAAGAGACTGGTAAGACACACTTGAACAGACTTTCTTAATTGGTATAGTTATTTTTAGTGAATTTATTCTATGCATTCAAGGTAAGGGGATGTAAACGACAAAGAAAACAGATGAAATCAGTCTCTCCCACTCTACTTGACTCCTGGGATTCCTATCTGCTGCTCACTATCAGATTTTATAGTCAGGTGTGACCCATTTTTGTCCACCATCTTCACCATAACAATGCTTGAAAACCTAGGTTTTGTTTTATTGTGGACATGAAGCTGGTTCTGTCCACATGCAACCAATTAATGCAAGGTATGCTTATTTAGGGCTGTCTTGATGAAGTCCAGAGTGCTCCTGTGATCTTTTGGGTGAGTAGGACTGGGCTTTAGCCCTACTCACCCAAAAGCTGCAGTAAATCTTGCCAATCTGAAGGTTGTGGGTCCGAAGCCAGGCCTTTAGCCCAGCTCCTGCCAACCTAACAGATTGAAAACAGCAATTGTGAGTAGATAAATAGGTACTGCTTTAAAAGTGGGGAGGTATTTAGGCACCCATAAGGAAATGCCAGAAAAGTGCTGACAATGTGTTCTAGGAGGACAGTTTACGAACAAAAAGCTCTTTGGCAGGAAAGATGGAGCAACAGCACACACCCCTCCCCCCATGGCAGGAACCGAGCATAGCCTCCAAGATGCTGAAGATGGGGAAAGCCTATATATACCTCTATCTGTGTACAGTTGTCTGTCTTGTCTTTGTATAATGACATTGAATGTTTGCTGTGTATGTGTTCTGTGATCCTCTCTGAGTCCCCTTTGAGGTGAGAAGGGTGGAATATAAATACTGTAAATAAATAATAGATGGAAAGCTGGACTGCCGCTGCATTGCTGGTCACAAACAACTTCCCAGCAGAGCCTTTATGGCACCATTTATTTTCCTGGTCACATTATTGGGTGCCCTGGTACTACTGCACCAGAATGTCACCAACACAGAACATCACCAACAAGCCTCTCCTAGAGAGCTGCTGGTGGTAATGGTGGGTTCATTGTGATGTGTGGACAGTGGATGGAGGTGGATCCAGCTGTCAACACTTCCAACACTCTGGCATCACTGGAAGCTCCAGATTAGATCCTACTTCTTCTCAAGCTGAATTAATAGCTGTAGCACTTCTGTTGCAAATCCAGTTGTGTGGCCTCTCCATGACTGCTAAGAGGTGTCCACATTATTTGACTCATTTAGACTCTAGTAATTCCAAAAGCAGGATTCTGTACCTGAGGCCAAATCTGCAAAATTGTTAGTCACACTTGGAATAGCAATCTGATGCCTGCGTGTCCCCATTACTATGTGCCACAAACAGTTTGTAACAAAGAAGGGGAATTGAGAGCATGTTTTGTTCTCTGATACGGCTGGCCAGTAACAGAGGTACTCCATCCCTTTCCTCCCATCTTGTGCCATGCTAGATTCGCTCACCTCCAATGACTGGCACATGGAGATTCTCAGTGCGAGACACCACTTTGGGAAGATCACAGGGCAGCAAGATGATCGGGTCAAAGAAGGTCGAGTGAGGTGCTGCCACCAGGACTGGGGCCTCAAGCCGTGATGCCATCTGTCCTCGTACCCGTATCCGCATGAAACCGAGCAGGAAGAACATCAACCGGCTCAGCAAGTAGACCAAACTGTGGGAAACTGTGCTGAAAATGGGGGGGAGGGAGTGGAAGGGGGTATTAAAACGAAGGGGTATTAGAAGAGGTGAATTCAGGAAGGGCAAAAGGTTATCAGAGCAAATCCCACTACAGTACTTACTTTCTCCATCCGGAGAATGGCTCCTGCAACGTCTCCTCCGGAAGTCCCACCACTTGGAGTAGTGCAAAGGGCCAGATGAGGAAGAGGACCACAAAGGCCAAAGCGACACGGATTGGGGCCAGGATGATCCCAAGCACATAGAACTGCAAAGACACAAATCCCAAGGGGAGGAATATCATAAGAATGCAATCTAATCCAGCAACAGATTATAGCATCATAGAATCACAGAGTTGGAAGGGGCCTCATGACCCACCGAGTCCAATACATACCATCATAGAATTATCCAGTTGGAAGAGACCTCATGGGCCATCCAATCCAACCCCATTCTGCCAAGAAGTAGGACAATCGCATTCAAAGCACACCCAACAGATGGCCATACTGCCTCTGTTTAAAAACCTCCATAGAAGGAGCCTCCACCACACTTTGGGGTAGAGAGTTCCACTGCTGAACAACTAACCCAGTTAGGTGGAATCTCCTTTTCTGTAGTTTGAAGCCATTGCTCTGTGTCCTAGTCTCCAGGGCAGCAGAAAGGAAGCTCCCTCCCTCCTCCCTATGACTTCCCCTCACATATTTATACATAGCTGTCATGTCTCCTCTTAGTCTTCTCTTCTGCAGGCTAAACATGCCCAACTCTTTAAGCAGTTCCTAATAGGGCTTGTTCTCCAGACCCTTGATCATTTTAGTTGCCCTCCTCTGGACACAGTCCAGCTTGTCATTATCTCCCTTCAATTGTGGCGCCCAGAATTGGACACAGTATTCCAGGTGTAGTCTAACCAAGGCAGAATAGAGGGGTAGCATGACTTCCCTGAATCTAGACACTAGACTCCTATTTATGCAGGCCAAAATCCTATTGGTTTTTTTAGCTGCAGCATCACTTTGTTGGCTCATGTTTAACTTGTCCACAAGCACTCCGAGATCTTTTTCACATGTACTGCTGTTGAGCTAGGAGTCCCCCATTCTGTATCTTTGCATTTCATTTTTTCTGCCTAAGTGGAGTAAATTATTAATTATTAATTAATAAGTTGAGTAAATTATCCCAAATTATTGCAGGAATCCCAGCTGGAGCACCCCTAGCAAATATGTGCCCTGTCTCTTTTGCTTTTTAACAGGACCACCACATGTGGAAGAAAGTTCCTTCCTGTTCTTTTCCTATCCGGCACTTGTTGTTTCTTCCCTTATATATTTTAGCTAGTTTTGCTGGGGTCAGGTATCACCTAGTCACCATTTTACAAAAAAAATATCTAAGGTCGTGGCATTTTTTAAATAAAGATTTTCACACTGGAAATCCATGACAACAGAATCCACAGATACTGAGGTCTGACTTTGGAATGAAGCTTTTCTGAAAGATTTTTCTTCCCCAATATAAATATTGAAAATAAACAAATAATAACAATTTTGGTTTTATTTGTTTCAAGAAAGAAAAAAATTGAGAGGTTGGGTGTGATGATGAGCACTTCTGTAAAAAAAAAAAAAAGGGGGGGGGGTAGCTGCAGTGATTTGTAAAATTGTCCACCACTTTAATTTCCCACAATATCAGAGCAATGCTATATAAGATGCTCCGGGGCAGCGTTTCTCAACCTGGGGTTRGGACCCCTGAGGGAGGGGCATGAGGGGGTGTCACAAGGGTTGCCAAAGACCATGAGAAAACACAGTATTTTCTGTTGGTTGTGGGGGTTCTGTGTGGAAAGTTTGTTCCAAGTCTATTGTTGGGGGGGGGGGTTCAGAATGCTATTTGATTGTAGGTGAACTATAAATCCCAGCAATTACAACTCCCAAATGTCAAGGTCTATTTTTCCCAAAGTCGACCAGTCTTCACATTGGGGCGTATAGAGTATCCGTGCCAAGTTTGGTCCAGATCTATCATTGTTTGAGTCCACAGTGCTCTCTGGATGCAGGTGAACTACAACTTCCAAATGTCAAGGTCAATGCCCACCAAACTCTTCTAGTATTTTCTGTTCGTCATGGGAGTTCTGTGTGACAAGTTGGGTTCAATTCCCTCATTGGTGGAGTTCAGAATGCTCTTTGATTGTAGGTGAATTATAAATCCCAGCAACTACAACTCCCAAATGTCAAGGTCTATTTTTCCCAAACTCCACCAGTCTTCACATTGGGGCATATTGAATATCCGTGCCAAGTTTGGTCCAGATCTATCATTGTTTGAGTCCACAGTGCTCTCTGGATGTAGGTGAACTACAACTCCCAAATGTCAAGTTCAATGCCCACCAAACTCTTCCAGTATTTTCTGTTCGTCATGGGAGTTCTGTGTGACAAGCTGGGTTCAATTCCCTCATTGGTGGAGTTCAGAATGCTCTTTGATTGTAGGTGAATTATAAATCCCAGCAACTACAACTCCCAAATGTCAAGGTCTATTTTCCTCAAACTCCACCAGTCTTCACATTCGGGCATATTGAGTATTCATGACAAGCTTGGTCCAGATCTGTCATTGTTTGAGTCCACAGTACTCTCTGGACATAAGTGAACTACACCTCCCAAATGTCAAGATCAATGCCCACCAAACTCTTCCAGTATTTTCTGTTGGTCATGGGGGTTCTGTGTGACATGCTGGGTTCAATTCCCTCATTGGTGGAGTTCAGAATGCTTTTTTATTGTAGGTCAACTATAAATCCCATCAACTACAACTCCCAAATGACAAAATCGATGCAGCCCCCCCCCCCCCCCGGGGCATTTCAGGTGACAAATTTGTGCCAAATTTGGTCCAGTGAATGAAAATACATCCTGCATATAAGATATGTATATTATTACTCATAACAGTAGCAAAATTAGTTATGAAGTAGCAACGAAAATAATGTTATGGTTGGGGGTCACCACCACATGAGGAACTGTATTAAGAGGTCGCAGCATTAGGAAGGTTGAGAACCACAGCTCTGGGGCATTATGCCCATAAACAGGGAGGAGGATTGCACTGATGGCAATAGGCAGCTGGCCAGATCAATTGGACATCTAAAGCCACCCAAGGATATAAAATGCAGGGTGTTGGCTTCCTGTTCACAAAACCCATCCCTTCTCTTTGCAAGCCTCTTGCATCCAGAATGCCAGATGAAATGATTTCTAATAATATCTCATGCTCCTTGACATGCAGCCAGGATGCACAGTTGGCATCAAGTTAGGCCAATCACGTGGACTTCCGTCGGACACCCACCCACCCCGATTTACCAGGATTACTGTCCGAGCGACTGTCCGGCATCTGTCAGGGCACATCCTAGATTATCAGTGATCATGAGTCATATTGCCAGTCCTGTTTACAGATGCCCTTTTTGGATCTTGGGAATGGAGAGGGTGGAGGGGAGATATGTCCCAACATTGCTCTAGTCCATTGTGAAGACATTCTCCATTTTAAGAGTGCACAACCAATGGCCCTTGGGGTGCATATTTGACTCATGGCGCAGTGAAATATGGATACGCTGAAATATGTAGATGCAGAGTTATGGCGGGATATGGAAAGAGTGAATGTAATCCTATGTTAACATATGTCCATTACGCAGTTGCTCACTCAAAATAATACCACATAGTTCGCTTGGGACTGAAATCCTGAAATGTTTTGTTATATGAACCAAAGGGTGTTCATCAATGCTTCCTCTTCATTCTGGAAAGAAGTGACGAATGGAGTGCCATGAGCAGGGATCCATTGTGGTCCTAGTCCTGTTCAATATCTTTATTAATCACTTTGATGAAGGGTTAGAAGGCATGATCATCAAGTTTGCAGATGACACCAAATTGGGAGGGATACCTAATACTCCAGAAGACGGGAGCAGAATTCAAAATGATCTTAAAAGATTAGAGAGATGATTGGCCAAAACTAACAAAATGAAGTTCACCAGAGACAAATGCAAGATACTCCGCTTAGGCAGAAAACATGAAATGCAAAGATACAGAATGGGGGACGCGTGGCTCGAGAGCAGTATGTGTGAAAAAGATCTTGGAGTTCTCGTGGACAACAAGTTAAACATGAATCAACAATGGGATGCTGCAGCTAAAAAGGCCAATGGGATTTTGGCCTGCAACAATAGGAACATTGTGTCTAGATCCAGGGAAGTCATGTTATTCCTCTATTCTGCCGTGGTTAGACCACACCTGGAGTCACACTGTGTCCAGTTCTGGGCACTGCAATTGAAGAGAGATATTGACAAGTTAGAATGTGTCCAGAGGAGGGCGACTCAAATGATCAAGGGTCTGGAGAACAAGCCCTATGAGGGGCGGGTTAAAGAGCTGGGCATGTTTAGCCTGCAGAAGAGAAGGTTGAGAGGAGGCACAATGAGGGCCATGTATCAATATGTGAGGGGAAGTCACAAGGAGGAGGGAGAAAACTTGTTTTCTACTGTCCTGGAGACTAGGACGTGGAACAATGGCTCCAAATTACAGGAAAGGAGATTCCACCTGAACATTAGAAAAAACTTTCTAACTGTGAGAGCCGTTCAACAGTGGAACTCTCTGCCATGGGGTGTGGTGGAAGTTCCTTCTATGGAGGCTTTTAAACAGAGGCTGTATGGCCATCTGTTGGGGATGCTCTGAATACAATTTTCCTGCTTCTTGGGCTGGACTGGATGATCCACAAGGTCTCTTCCAACTCTATGATTCTATGCGTTCAAGTCATTTCTGATTTAAGGGGACCCTGAGGATAATTTATTACAGGGTTTTCTTGGCCAACTTTGTTCAGAAGTGGTTTGCCTTTGAAACACGCTGAAGCTGAGAAAGTGTGACTTCCCCAAAGTCATCCAGTAGGTTTCATGGCTGAACAAGTACCCAGAGTCTGATCTCTAGAGTTGTGATCCAGTGCTTTTTATTTCTTTTTCGTGTCAGGAATGACTTGAGAAACTGCAAGTCACTTCTGGTGTGAGGGAATTGGTCATCTGCAAGGACATTGCCCAGGGGACGCCTGGATGTCCAGTGCTTAAACCACTACATTAAGCATGGGCAAACTTCGGCCCTCCAGGTGTTTTGGACTTTAACTCCCACAATTCTTAACAGCTGGTAAGCTGTTAGGAATTGTGGGAGTTGGAGTCCAAAACACCTGGCGGGCCAAAGTTTGCCCATGCTTCACCTACATTATACAAGATTTTAAATGGTTTACATTGTTTAATACGTTTTTCAATCTCTTTGGATCCTTTTTCAATTATATTAATTG